CCTACAGATCTATATTACTTGTGTTTACTGCGAGAGGAATTCATGCCCAAACTACATGCTGCTTTTACATCCAGGAACACCTGCCGCGACAAGCTTGTTTAATTCACATCATTTAAAAAGAAAACATGGCATTTATTGTCATGCCAGATTTAATTCCTAGTTAAATGACATGGGTTTAGCTTTGTCCTACAGCATCTCCATTCTTTGTAATGTTGTCACGTTCCGAGATGGATTAGAATAGGGACAATCTGGATAGTAGCCCAGGGCCCAGAGATCTAAGTGGGCTCATGCTTTTCATGCAGGGAAAAAACAAATTAAATGATGCTGACATGAGGCTTTAAATCTGCATTACAATCATTCAGTTAAATACATCATTAAACAAAATGTATGTGAACCTGCCAAAGAATATAGAGTTCTGTTCAGTCAGTCTTGAGCTTGAGGCACCCCTACGGAACAGAACAGCCAAGCCCTACACTCCCTAGGACCTTTCTGCGGACTAGCGTGCAGCTCAATAATGCAGACTGGTCTAGGATCTGCCCAAGCCTGTGATCAGACAATGAAGCATCAGCAGAACTCTGCTAAAGTCATCCCTATGTTCACTTTCAGCACATGTGCACTGCAACAGAAATTGATTGGCCCCTAGTTATGCCCCTCCCTCTCCCATTACAAGAAGCTGTTATCAAGAGATATTCTGGTAAGTTTGTCAACTGTATTACAAAAACACATTTTTTGCATTATTCTTGTTTTAGTGAATTTATAATCAGGGAAGCTGGTGGTGCATGAAAACTGCTCAGCATCCTGCCCAGCTCACTGACATCATTGGTTGCCAGGGGCTGGGTGGGACCCCATCCATAGCGTCCTGCTCAGTTTCTGGCAACCAGTGACATAGGTGATTTGTGCGGGACGCCAGCAAGACCATAACAGGTTGCTAAGAGCTCTTAGCAACTTGGGATGCTCTGGCCAGAAAGGGAGCAACAGGCATAGGTGACCCAATGAGATGCCACCTGAGGCAACCACCTACTGGGTGCTTTTAGTTTAAATTGAACCCTGTATTGACAAAGTCACTTTAACATGTTCTGCTATGTTATGTAATTATGTAACATGTGTAAAAGCTATTCATACATTAAAATGGGAATACATGTATGTTGATTAAATACTTACGCCACCCAAAACTGATATTTCAGTTCCCAAAGGCCTAGGCCATTTTAAAGTAATGGTGTTCCACTACCTCCATAATCTTGAATAAAGTGATTGGGGTGATAGGTGTCCAGCTGTAAGAAAGTGGCTTCTGCTATGGTCAGGAAGGATGGATGAAGACACAGACTACTGCAGCCAAATCTTGGTGCCGACGTCTTTGAAAAATAAAAGGAGCAAGCAGATGATTGTTACAGTGAGTGATCAGTAGTGTCAATGTTCGAGCCGAACGAGAGTTTGACTCGAACATTGGCAGTTCGTGTGTTCGGCGAACACACGAACTGTCAGGGTGTTCAGCTGGCCTTGTGAGCCCTGATTGGCTAAAGCCTTGCACCTGGCCACAGGTCATGTGCAAGACTTTGCCCAATCAGGGCACAGAGAACAGTGAGAGCCATGATTGGGCAAAGTCATGATGACACTGCTCAATCATGGCTCAGCCTGTTACAACTGTAAACAGTTGGACGGAGCTGCCACTACTAGCTCTGGCCAAATGTTTATATGTTACTGGCATCTGTCAAAATGCCATTATGTGGCGGGTGTTCGTCGCAGTGACGGGACGGCGCTCGTCAGGTTTATTTTTAAATTATTATTTCTATTTATTTGTTATTGTTTTATTTTTTATTTCACGAGTCGTCGTCGACAACGCTGGACGTCGTGATTGACGTTGGATTACAACGGTGGATCAATTTTAGTTTTTTGGTTGTTTTTTAAATAAAGGATTTTTTCAAAAGTCTTACAATTTAATTTAACCCTTTAGTGAATGGGTAGGGGTACAAGTACAAGAGGGGGAGGCGGCATCTGGGCCATATATTATTTATATCCATATAGTATTCAGACAAAAGATATCTTCAGGGCTTGTCTATACAAGCCCCGAGATATCTTTTGTCTGAATATGATATGGATATAAATAGGGCTGCAACAACTAATCGACATAATCGATTATAATCGATAATAATATATGGTAACATGATTGCGACACAAGTGATATAGACCAATGTAGGCATCTAATCTAGGGCTTTAATGTATACGAAGAGGCAACATTAATGTGAAGTAAGGATCTTTTGGAACCGTTTGTACATACACATATATGTCATGGTGGTTGGTCAACCTGAATTGAATTTCAAAAATTGTTTTTAACTTTTGTACAATAAAATATTTTATGATATGAAAAAATATTGATGCCTCATTTGAAACCCCATTCTCTCTAATATTGTTTACTAAATACTGTGTATGGTCACCCTTAGGCCTCATTCACACGGCCGGTAAGAGGGCAGTAAAACCAGACAGTGGCCAAACAGTGCTGTATACAATGCATGATATACAGCATGTTGTGTTTGGCAGCCATTGCAATTAATTGGGCCGCGGTATTGTAATAGAAAAACCCTATTGGGATTGAAAGAAAGGCATTCAAGAGGTGGCAGTATCACCTCCTGAACGCCGGACAGGCACTGCTGCCCCGCCCTCTGATCCACCACGAATCGCTTTTCAGAGGAAGGTGGAGGCTGCCATCTGTGTGAATGAGGCTTTAGGCTAGAAGAAGGTTAGCAATGGCAGTATTGATTTAAAATACTGCTGGTTAATAAGCTGTATTTTAAGCTCAATATTCACAATACAATCTCCTTTAAGCCTGTGACACACTGCATGTGAAGCAGTGTAGAGCGGTGGTGCGTGGACCTTCACGAGCAGTGTGCCATGTGATTTTTACTCTGGCGCGTTAGCTTGCGAGAACTCGCATACCTGAGCATGCCGAGATGAAAAATTTCATTTTCGCCCAATAGGCTCGTGCTTATAAACCCGCGTTAGGATGCGAAGTCCATTCGGTTGTAACTTTGAATGTAGATGTCACCAGCACGACAAAAAAACACATGGGTCAGTGCAAATCCATTTAATGAAATGTCATTCGGTTGTAACGCACAAGCCGATTGGCTGAAGATGCAGTCTTTCATCCGGCCTCGTTCAGCTCACACTGCATGCGAGCGTCCATAACTCACAGCTTTGCTCCGCACGGCTTCGTTTTCAGTGTGTCACGGGCAGTGGCGTCACAGAGGGGGGTGCTGCCCGGTGCCACCATTGCAGGGGTAAAACAAATGGCAAAACGCACTCATCAATTTGTTTCCAGATTTACAGCAAAAGTCCATGTATCCCACCGCACTCCTGACCGGAGAATGCCCAATATAGCAGGGCGGGTGCAGCAGCTACAACGGATGCCGCCGTCATAACGTACAAAAAAATATTAGAGTCACGGCACTCCAAGTAATCAAGTCAATAAGTTTATTGACCCAAGTGATAACACCTCTAGCAACGTTTAGGGACCATGCGGCCCCTTCCTCAGGCAAACAGAGAGTGAAACAGCAATGCAATACAAGTTTTTAAATACACATTGAAAAAGACCCATCCACCAAGCTTTACAGCAAGGTGCACATGGAAGGGCTTTACAGCAAGGTGCACATGGAAGGGCTTTACAGCAAGGTGCACATGGTGGTGAGACAGATTTTTTTGCATGCTGGCTGGCGAGTGTGCTGGGAAACTTTTTGCTGTTATACCATTGCAGGGGTGACACCAAAATGACTGTTACAGACCGAGAGCAGGACAGTGTCAGGAGAGAGGAGGGGACCCGGCGGCATACCTCATACCACCGGGTGAACGTCCCTTCCTCTCTCTGCCGGCATCCATCACCAAGATGGCTGCCAGCAGGCGTCACTAAGATGACCACGCATGTGCAGCAACGTCACGTGCATGCACAATGAAGTCACAGTGGGGTGTCATCCGGTCTCTGCTACAGGTGACAGGCAGCCTCGGGACACCCCTGGTCACGGGCTTTAGATCTACCAACTATGTAGTGCCAGAACCTGATGGATTGGATACAAACTGATTGGATAGATTAGGTAGATCCTCATATTGCTAAGTCTTGGTTCATCTAATTTTAGTTAAATATTGCATTGTAAGATTGTCACTTGTATGGTGACTCTTAGGCCTCATTCACACTGGCAGTATCAAACCTGCGTTTATATGCATTTAGAGCGCATTTCTAAACAAAAACGGATACATGTAACTGATTTCAGTAATCATTTAAACTGGGTGTTTATGTGCATTTAGTTTAGCTGCATTTATAGAAAATAGAATCCTGAATGTCCAGGATCTGAAGAGTTAAACGCGTGTAAATCTAAACGCAGGTAAACGTGGCTTTAAGCAGGGACATATTATTGTTTTCCTGAGAGAAAGATGTGTATCTAATATTTAAAAAAAATATATACTCACCTGATTCTCGATTCTGTGGCAGTGACTGCTCATCTCTCTCCCCCTCTGCTTCGGCTGTGGAATGCATCGTCATGTCCAATGCAAGTCAACGGAAGTCCTTCCCACCATGGTACATGGCTGACGTTAAACCTGGTTAGCTTAGAGGATCACAGGGATATCAATGGCCTGATACTCACTGTTATTTACCATACTGGTTGAGAAGGGAATGTACAACATCGATGAATGTTTATAATATGGTGGTAGGAAAGAGGCTGCGTCAGCCACTGCAAGTAATAAGATGAGAACATGCCTCCTGGAATCTAAAAGTATACTAATGGGAGCAAAGATGTTTTTCTTCAAATTTGCACAAGATGGCCACAGAATGGTAAACAATGCAACACAAATAGAGCAGTTGCCTATAGTATTGATATTTGTTTCAATTGTCCTGCAGAAAAAGGAAGATATGGGCATTGGCTGCCACAGTTTTCATACAATACAATGTGTGTGTGTGTGTGTGTATATATTATGAAGGTAATATTGTGTATTGCTCCTTTAGTAGTAGTCCTCACCTGCTACCAGTAATGAAATCTTCTCATTAAGGTATTCCACGTGTTCTCCAGAAGGAGATGTGTTTTGGTTCCAGTTCCCTCCTTTCCATAGAGTGAAGGACACCATTGCCCCTCCATGTGCACACAGGTGAAGGCCTAGCACTTCAATCTGTTCCAGCAGCTCCAGAACCACCTGTCCAGATACAGATTCACCGGCAGAATATCCATTCTTTCCCTCGTTTTCAAGAACAACACTCATTAGAAGACCCACAACCATTTTCCCCCCAGGCCCCGAAGGGGTAGGATCAAGCCAAGAAATGGCTCATGGCTTTGACCAGTCATACAAGCCCCCAAGGAACAAAAAAAAATGATGGGGAGCTTGTAAATTTTGCAAATCCCAAAATGAAAAAAAATAAAAATAAAATACAGTATGTGGTATCCTACGGAGGCAAAAACACTTCAGACAGGCCTGTGCCAACTTGGCCCCCGCTGCTTCTAGACTGTAAAAACTTGTCGATTAGATCAGAAATAAAAAGGTGGTCTTCAAGGCTTTGATGTGAGCAAGAGTTGGAGGCTGGGTAGAAGTCACTGCTGTCTGGCATCGAAAACTGTGTGATAAGTTATCCCAACCAGGCTTTAAAGTTTAAACTGTGACCACACAGGAATGCTCAGTGTTGGAAGGTATACAGGGGAAATGTTCACAACATGTGACACGGAGACACGTTCAAAACAAGGCAACTTGGGAACACTTCCTGGTGGGTGAGAGGTGAAATGCTCTTCTTAGGAAGGCTGCAGACTTCCAAGGCTCTCACTGTGTGATCTTTGTATTCAGCGATGATCCTCCAGCCAGTTCACTACTGTCTTGTGCCTCCTGCAAGCCTGCTGAATACAGGGTGTACCAGGAGTTCACAGCCAAAAACACTTTACTGTCATCGGCAGTCCTTCCCTGCTCCCTGCTCCCTACTCCCAACCAATGGGGAGCCTGGAGGACCTGCACCAGTCACAGAACTCTGCTCAACCTTTCCTCAGCTCAGCTGAAAGGCTGAAAACAAAGCTGATTGGTTGGCAGGCTGAAGTTTGTTATTGTGAAAACTCAATGCATGCTGCAGGCGAGTGCTGAGAACGTGGCTGAGTCATGATCCTCAGCATGAACAGAGTGAGAGAGAGAGAGAGAGAGAGAGAGAGAGGGAGGAAGTCATCTGAAATGTCAAGATTGAAAGCAAATTCATGAATGGGCACTGCACGGATTTATTAAACCTGAGAGAGTGAGCGAGCAACTACGCTCCTTCATATTTGTGTATCAACTTTTGCAATTAAAATGTTACAATCAAAAAAGGAATGTTTCAGTTTTATAGATACCTTATAGAACAATGAATAGTGTTTGCACTTTCCTGCATTTAGGCCCCATTCACACCGGAACACTTGCGTTACCATCCGTTTTAACGGATGGTAAAGCAATGAAAAATGAATGGGTGTGAATGGGGACAGTTCCCACCGCAGCATTGCGTTGCAGTTTCTTTTTTAATGGACAGTAACGCAAGGGCAATAAGAAAAATAAATTGGTGTGAATGGGGACAGTTCACACCACAGCGCAGTGTTGCCGTGTGTTGCGCTGAAAAAAAAAGGAGACTATGCTGGTTTTTTTTCAGTGCAACGAGTCAAAAGCCTGCGCTAACGCACCGTAACACGTTGCTAGCCATTACAGGGAAGTATGTCCACTCAGGACATGTTACACATAAAGCTTGCCCCCAAAAAATGTGACAGAACAGATCGGAAGGAAATTGGAAGGCACTCTCGTTGACTTGCGAGTACCTTTCGATTTTGGTGTCAATGCACCCCTAAAGGATAAGTTTACTTTTCTAACCATGGTCACATCGCAACCACGCCCACTTACCGGAATCGCAGGATTTTCTTATCCCCTCCAGGCTGGTGCTGTATTTTCAATTTGGTGCGGCTGTGTATGGCTCTGCCCAAACAGCCATATCATCCATTCACAGATCCTTTGACACTGTACAATCTGATTGTACAATCTCTGCACAATCTCTATAGATTTGCTGAAACTATGTAAGGCTGGGCACACACCTTACAACCATCGCAAGACTTTTGTCTTGCGATGGTTGTAAGGTACTTAAAAAAATGTACAATCTGCCTATGTTGCATAGGCAGATCGTACTTGCGATGATCGCAAGCCACTCCCCTTGAGGGGCGGGCTTCCGATGACGCAATGCCGAACGGGCAGTGTGCGCTTGCGCACACCAGCCCGTCCGGCTTTTATCTTACGAACATGCTACACACCCGCCAAACATCGTACGATGCTCGGCGGGTTTTAAAACATGCTCGTAAGTTTGAAAGTCGTGCGACCTTACAGTAGTAGAGGTCGCACGGCTTCCACACACCTTACGATAGTCGTACGATCGCGGGATTTCCCGCGATTATCGTAAGGTGTGTGGGGACCTTAAGGATCTACCCAAACAATTCATTCAATTGGTATCCAATCAGGCAGGTTCTTGTACTACATAGTTGACGGTAGATGTGAAAGATTGTACGATCAGATTGTACAGTGTATGGTCAGCCTAAGGCCTCATTCATATAGCTTAGAGTCAGCCCGTACAGATCCTTGCGGCATGCATGGCCGTATCGGTCCGTTCCCGGGAAAGACAGGTGCTGCGTGTGATTGTACGCAGCAGCCTGTTCTGAGAACGCAGCCGTACGCCGCTCTACGCTCACCTGAGCTGCACATCCGTGTGGGTGCGGGTGTCCGTACTCGGACGCAGACAGGGTGGATCCTGTCTGTACTGACTCTAAGCTGTGTGAATGAGGCCTAAAGGTTACTAAGGCCATACACCTTACAACCATTGCACAACTTTTTTTGTCCAGACATCTCACCCTCGTTCAATTTTCGTTCAACTAGCCCATCATGCACAGACCAATGTAGATCGCAATTAAGGTTTGTCAGCACCACTAACTGGCTGTTTTTCATCGATCGAAAGAACAGATTTTCGCTTTAACACGTGCATTTTTCATCTTGAGATTTTCGTTGTACAACGACACCAGTAACCTGTCAATTTTTGTCCAACTAGACAAAAAGTTTCTAGCCTTCTTGAAAGACAAAAATCTGCCAGCTGTACAATAATTGAGGTTGTGCACTTCCCATCAAATGGCAGATTTTTGGAAGAAAATGCAGATAAAAATCTCCAGATAATTGTAAGGTGTATGGGCACCTTAAAAGAGATTGTACAGAGATTGTACAATCAGATTGTGTAGTGCATTGTCAGCCTGAAGCTGGCCAGATACACTGTACAACCATCGCAAGACTTTCGTTGTGCGATGGTTGTAAGCTAATTAAAAGCTCCTACGATCTGCCCATCTTAGACAGGCAGATCCCACTGAGGGGAGGGCTTCCGATGACTGCAATGCTGAGCGGGCAGTGTGCGCTTGCGCACACCGGCCCGTGCGGGATTTGTCTTACGAGCACCACAAACCCACCGGCTGGTTTTCCAACATGCTCGTAAGACAATAGACGTGCGACCGTACAGTAGAAACGGTCACATGCCTTCCATACACATGCCGATTATCCTACTATCGCAGGATTTCCCGCGATTATCGTACGATAATCGGCAGGTGTATAGCACCCTTTATAAAGGAGAGTTCTACAATCAGATTGTATAGTGGCCAGCTTAACCCATTAAGACACTTATAACCAACCCAGGGGCGTCCCGTGGCTGGGTGACACCCGGAGTGGTAACCGAGTGTCATCCCGCCGAGACGTCACTGCGCATGTGCATGCGTGACGTCATCACGCGAGTGCACGATGGCGTCATCGCGCACGCGCGGCAGTATTCTGATACCTGCCGGCGGCCATCTTGGTGATGGACGCCGGCAGAGAGAGGAGGGGACAGTCACCCGGCGGGATAAGGTATGCCGCCGGGTCCCCTCCTCTCTCCTGATACTGTCGGGCGTTTGGTCCATGACCGAGCGCCCGACTTTTCAGAGGGGGGTGACACCAAAATGACCGTGAGTCATTTTGGTGTCACCCCTCCAATGGTGTCACCTGGGTGCGGGCCGCACTCCCCTTGTGACGCCACTGAACCAACCCCCATGCAATTCAAATAACTTCCCTCTCAAAAAATATACAATATTTGTAATCAAAGTTTTCACCAGGAACATTTTCCTTGAAATGATTGGTGCTGCTTGTAAAATGTAATATACAAGCCTTGTTTTTATACGGCTTCACGTAGCTTGCAGGACGTCCCTACCCACTGGACACTTCAAAGAGAACACATATGGTAAATCATTAACTTACCTGTGTCAGCGCCACTCGCTCAAGGCTGCAAACGTTGTGAAGGAGGAAGTGTGGGCAGGTGCATGTGCAGTCCAGATCACCGGAGGGGAGAGCAGGAGAGTGACACTGAAATTCAATGACATATAAATATAAAGTATATTGCTGCACTGCTTACCGGATTTTATTCTAAAGTAACCTTTAGACACAGGTGGGTGCTTGTAGTAACCATGGACGGCACCACGATGAATATAGTGATTAAAGAATGTCACCAGCACACCATGCTTTCAAATGTGATCAGAATGACCCTGATGAAGCCTGATGAAGGGGACCCGGTGTGGGCCCAAAAGCGCTTGTACTTGAATGGCATTGTTTTGTCATTTGCTAATCTCATTTGAAAGCATGGTGTGCTGGTGACATTCTTTAATCACTGAAACGTAATGGACGCAGCCGGTAGTGCGCATGCCGGACAGACTCCGTGGGGCACCGGAAGAGAGAGGAGTATGCGGTGGATCAGAGAGGCTGGAGGGACTGTGAAAAACGACTGGAAGGAAGAAGCTGTTCGGATCAAGAGGCATCACTTAAGGTAAGTACTTACAGCAGCATGGGGGTGTGTGAAGGGGGATTGAGGATCAGGTGAGTAATGCAGCTTTATCTGAGTCCCCTAGACAAAACAAACCGTTAACTCTTGCATTGCGAAGGGTAGCCCCACTGCAAGGGTAAATTTTTTCTTTACCCTGAGTTCTTCTTTAGGCTCCTGGTTTTACAATTATACATATATCTGAATTGTAAAATGGCTTTGGTCTAGTATACTAATGCTAGTCCCAAAAGTTTTAATAGTAGGGTATAGTAATGACCTTTTTTATTTATCTGCTCTATATCAAGATATTGAAAAAAATAAACAGATTGAAGAAGTGCTTGCACCTGCACAGCCTTATTCACAAGGGTTACAATTTTCACTTCGAGGGCTGGTCATTTTGGTCTGCAGGAAGCCCCACGGAATGACTTGCAATATTGAATGCAATAGCAATAATAAACAAAAAAACAACATACTCAGACCATATCAGCAGATCTAATTGTTGTGGAAATTTTATTAGGATGTGTTTTTAGTATATTCTAATATTGTCATCATGTCTCTCAGTGTCAGGTTTACTGCATCACATTCGATTGGAGCGTGACCTGGATAAATCGGCACTGGGGGTAAACCATTGGAGTAGATATCTTCCTGTGGATATGCGTGGCGGAGCAGTGTTTTCTTAGCGAGTGTGTGGACGCCAGCTAAGGCCCCTGCGCAAAACACGGATTTATTGGCTTGGCGTGGATGCACTTGCTTTGAGGACATAGTATTATTTAAGATACATATCTGCCTTTATGAAAGTGACGTGCGTTCGTATTTCTGATGCGTCTGATCACCGTGCTGGAAATAGTATGGCATTGTCCCTGCAGATAAAGCTTGCATTCATGAGAATCATAACAACTTTATTGGGCATTGCTCACTGAGCAATGCTGGATAAAGTTTGCTCCAGTGGTAACGGGAGATTACAGACATACACTCCCTTTTTCTATTGTATACATGTGTTTTGTTGGCTGGCTATGATATGTTGGTGTATTGAGGAAGTGATGTCGGTTGTTGACATCACTTCCTGTTTGACATCACTTCCTGTATGACA